TTTTGATTTTTGTACAGTCATGACTTTTCTGTTATGCCTTTCCTTCTGTCTGAAAGCCATGAGCTGTATTTGTATATAATTCTTTTGAGGAAGAAAAGATAGATGATCTGTTACGCTGTATTTTGATGTTATAGTAGATCTGTGTGTATGTTTCTGTGTATAATGCTTGGAAGAAATTTCTGAAACAAATTCCAAAGCCAGATCCTGGAATCAGTTCAGTCAGATTGAGTCTGGCCACGACCTAATGCGAGCGGGATCCGTCCCGATCGGGCTAGGTCGTGACAACAAATGCTCGTCGTCACTAACAGCGTTGACATCTATCATCACAACCATCTTTACTAAACTCGATGCCTTTTTTCTCAGCCTTCAATCTCCTTTTCTATAAAAAAATGACTAAGTAGATGATCACCAATTATCTCTAAATGCAACTCCAATGCTTAAAGATCCTCATATCTTCACCATATAATTTATTTTTAATAATTAATGTATAGTGTATTAATTGTAATAATGATTTCATCAATTGCTGTGAATCTATAAATCACATTAATAGAATCATTTCAACTGAATCAGACCGTATGAAATTTCCCCTTTCGGAGCTTTCACAACAACAACAACAACAAATTTGCATGTCTCATGTATGATCCTATATGAATTACTCCTAACCTTTTGAACTTATTTCTGTGCTATGTGCATAATTTTCATGCAATAGTAAGTTTACCTCTAAGTCTCTAAGGCCATGCGTTAATATTCCAGAAAAATATTAGATTTTTATAGTACAGCCCAAAACTTTCAAATATCGACGTAATATAGTGTATATTTAAGTTAAAAAAATATATATAAATTGTTATAGATTCAAATTTTTCTTAAATTACATACTAAAAATACAAAAGATTTCATAAAAAACCAATTAAAAGCAAGAAAATGATAATCTTTTTTAAATTATTTTGAATTTAAAGTAAGAGTGAAGGGGACAGCACTACCCATTTTAACAATATACGCGATGAATATAAATAGAAAATGTTGTTGGGCTCAATATGAGAGAAAAGTAAATATATAAATTTTATTTTAATCAAAATCAGTTTTTGATATGCTAATACAAGATTGAATGATTTTTTTAATGAAATATAAGAGTATAATACATAAAATGTGCCTTATTTTTTAAAATTTAGATTTTGTTTGGACAATTTCTAGCCACTATTTTTTTTTTGTTTTTAAGAAATTTTTAATTAAAAAATTATTATTATATATCATCAAAAAATTATATTGATTGGGCACGAATCTCAAGGCAAAATCAAGTGGGAAATTTCAAAATATAATTCAGATACCATCTCAACTCCAATTTCAGCAAACTTATAGTCGAACTGAACATCTTGGAAATACGAACCCAACGACATCAAATTAGACTCAACCCGAGTCCAAACAAGTCCAAATCAACGACCTGAAGCACTGTTGGATGGTTCGAACAACAATTTGGATTACCAAACGGTTTCCAAACATGACGTGCTAATAATAGAATTGAGTGGCTCGACGAGACAAATCCAACGAGCCCAATATCGCCAAATTCTGACATCATTAAGACCTTCAAATGTCTAACAAACGGTCAATGATCAAGGGATTCAATATCAGCTGTCCATCCTGTCCATCCAACCACTCTCCATTTACCCTTGATCTCTCACCTATTTACGGGTCATGCCACTCTAGAAATCTATAAATAAACCCCTCATTCTTCTTAAAAAGAAACCGAAACAAGAAGAGAAGAAGGAAGAAGCTCCTCCTCAACCATTGTCGAAGTTTCGCCGGACCATCGCCGGAGTTTTGCCGGAGCACCAATTGAGGCCCCCACACTCTCCGGACCATCACTTGAGGCCCTCCCTCCATCACAAAACAACGGTCTTTCAGACCCCAGTCTCCTACTGCCTACGGTCCTTCAGGCGTCTCCTGTTGACTATGGTCCTTCCGACCTCCATCACCTACTGCAGTCCTTCCGACCTCATCGTCATACAACGGTCTTTCTGACCCTGGTCTCCTTCCAACTACGATCTTTCTGACCCCTGTCTCCTGCCAACTACGATCTTTTGGACCCCTGACTTGTGCTGACTATGGCCCTTCCAACTAAACAAACATGTCTATGTTGATTATTGTAACTCTCACCATGTAATGCTCTCTATGTGATGTACATTTGTACCTTCAAGCCAAAACTTTCTTTCAATGAAGGGCCTCATTTGTAATCAACTGCAAATACTAGTGGATTCTTTCAAACTGGGCAAGACCCCATGATTTTTCTTCCTTTTTAGGGGTTTCCACGTAGAAACTCTAGTGTCTCTTATGAATGCTACACACCCTCTCTTATATGTTTGTGTGCTGGATCTTCGTACAATGCTAAGACGTTAAACTATATATTTCTCTACCGCCGCGAATATTCCAGGATGCAACAATTATAGAAAGTTGTAAGAAAATAATCCCAAATGAGGCCGTAAGGCTTCATTTTGAATAACTTTCTTACAACTTTTTAAAGCATATTTTTAGTACAAAAAATTTTAGAATTAAAAATTTTGGTACTAGAAAATAGCTTTAAAAAAGAGTAAAAAAACTGCCCCAAACAAAGCCTAAGACACCTTTTTTACTATTTTATAAAGCAATTTTTTGGTTAAAATATTTTTTGAATTAGAAATTTTTATACTAAAAAGTTGCTTTAAAAACAGCAAAAAAATATCTCAAATGAAGCCTCAGACGACTTTTTTAGTGCTTCTTAAAGCTGCTCTAAACCCTAAATTTTTTAAACGTATTTTTTTTCATCTTTTTTTGAAAAGTCATGCACATATATTGTACAAATAAACTACTGGAATTTACTGTGTTCTCGTGTTCCAAACACCTCATATAGAGAATATTTGTACATAGCAGATTTATTTTACATCCACATGACAACAAAGATTTTTTTTTTTTTTTTTTATAAACATTTTTTTTTTTTTTTTGCATGATTCAAAATATTTATAACTATTGGTACTAAAAGTGCACATGACATGTATAATAATTAATGGACCCACTTATCTTCAATCATAAAAATGGCGAATTATTTGAAGGCAAGTGTTGACCTTGTTAGATAATGTCTAGATCAATGGGAATAAAAAAGAAAATTAAAAAAAAATTGTTAAGTGAGCTATCTTTGAGTTGGATCACATCCATTTTAATTTTAAATCATTGAAATTCAAATGGTTTTTTATTTTTATTTTTTATTTTTATTATTTTTGTTTGTTTATTGAAATTCAAATAGTTAAATTGCCTTTTTATGAAATAAGAATAAATTGTGAAATTTTCATCATGTTTAGGCTTTTTTTCGGATAATTTTTTTTAATATTTTTAAAGCAATTTAAAATTTTATTTTTAAAAAAAAATTGTCCCAAATAAAATTTTAATAAGACTAAAAATAAAAAATTGCATAATTCTTCTGAGAAAGGCTAATTTTTGAGTGAAATAATATCAACATCTTAAAATTTAATCGAACAGAAGAATCAAGCTCATATCTAATTAAATCTAATATATTGCGCTCATCTCTTAAGGAATATTTTAGGTCAAAATAATCTTAAGAAAATTACTACTTGACAAAATTAAAATTAATACTACACTTGTCTTTAAGTTAAGTTTTATAATTATAAAAAGCCATCCCCACTTGAATTTAAACAACGATATCTTGATCCAAACTTTTTTGTTTTAAATACAGCACTTGCTTACCGAGCCAAAAATAATATAGTCATGTTTTAACTATTAAGATAATATTTTATTTTATATAGCTTTCTTTCTATTTTCTAAGATAATTTTTTAATATAAAATTTTTTTGAGCTACCCCAAACGAGTGAGATTATTTTCTTACTGTTTTCTAAATCAACATTTTAGTAATTTTTTTTTAATTTAAAATTTTGATATTACAAAACTGCTTCATAAAACAATAAAAAACTATCCCAAATTAAACCTAAATCTCATCATTAAAACGGGCCATTATCATTCCAAGTGAAACACTTGTCCCCTTAAATGGTCATCTTCCTTGAGCACCTTTTTAGTTTAATTTTTTTTTTAATTTAAAATTTTTCTACTACCAAACTACTTAAAACAGTAAGAAAATTATCTCTAACAAAACCTAGATCTCATTTAAAACCGGCCATTATCATTCCAAGTGAAACAGTTGCCCTTAAATGGTCATCTTCCTGTTATGAACTCTGATAGAGCTGGAGAAGAGGAAGCAGAGGATCTTAAGAATGGAATTACAATTTCCTGCATCAAATTGGGGAGCTACATTCTGTATGGTGACGGGTTTCCAGGACATAGAGTATACAGGATTTTCATATTTCAACCATACAATTTCCGCCAATTCCAACAAAAAGTACATAAATCTTTCAAGAACAATATACCTAAGAGAAATTAATTTATACTCTCCATAATTTGACATTGAAAAAAAAAAAAAGATTCAATGGTTGGCTGAGTTGCAAATGGCCACTTTTGATCTCTTCGGTTAAGGCACAGGATTGAGGAGCAAAATTCAAAGAAAAAACTCATCAAACTCAGGTTGCCGGAAGCCGGTCCTTCGAATCATAGCTTCCTGGAGCCTCTCTGGTTGTGATCATGTTTGATAAGATTGGCCCTACGCAACATTGCTCTAACTTCTCTTTCAAACTCAACACCAGTTTGAAGTGCTCTTTGAAATGTTGCGTTCCTCTGATCGGCATGTCTGGCATAAAGGATTTTGTTATGCGAGTCTATTCGAGCCTGCGAGCCGAGTCGAAATGCGACAATCAGAAAAGCTATCCAAACGGGAAGTGGAAAGCAGAAGAGAAACTACCTACCTGTATCTGGTTGTCAGTAATCAAGGCCTCCAGTTCCTTTTGTAGCCCAGCAACGGTAGTCTTGAAGGCACTGGCCATTGTGGGCAGATCAACGGAAATGAAAGGATGGGTATACTGAATGATGGCTTTATGGCGAATTTGAGTGTATAATGGTTCAACATGATCATGTAAATGAATATCCAGGAGAAGATTATGTTTCAGATTCTCAAGATAATCCAAGCAAGTTGCATACCGGCTGTAAAAGAAACCAACATTTGGGTTAAGAAATGTATTTTAACTATAAAATCAGCGCTCCATATCAGATCCCTTGAGAAAAGAGCTAGTAAATCAACTTAGTCAATATTCAAGCACATCTGAGCACTAAAGAGAACAAAGAGAGCAACAGAATAAAAGGTGAAGAAATTTTAATGATGAAATGATCATTGCATCAACCCCTATGGGTGCGACAAAATATAAAAAGAGTCAAATAGAACCGATTACAGGTTTATAAAGTATCAATTATTAGGATTGGGAATTGATTCAAGAGGTGGAATGAGATGGTCTTGACTCCATCGAAGAAAATAGTTAAACATGCGCAGCACACTTTGTTCACATTGCCCACACAAAAACCCCTCACTACCCCAAGTTCAGGACGTACGATCAACTTGCATTTGCAACATTTTGGTTTATAATTTCCGTTAAGCCAACTGCAATCTCATCACCAGGAGGCTCTCAACAGTCAAATCTCACCCTTCAGCTAGCATAACAGCTATGTGATGAGGACATCTGGAGAGTTTACTAGAGACGGAACCGTCGATCTAGCATAACAGCTATGTGATGAGGACATCCGCCAGCCACCATCTTCTTCCCTCCAACCGTCAGCCTCCATCTTCCACCCCTACTAGCCGTCGGCCCCAAAAAGGCCCATTCCTCCTCCTAAATGCCAGCCACCTAGACCACCCTCCTCCCTAACCACTGGCTAAGCCACCCCAAACCCCAACTCCAAATCCTAACGCTAGACGTCAACCCTAACCCAAGTCCTCTTCCCTAAGCCGTGGCCGGCCAACCCCTTCCTTGGCTCCCAAATTTCAAAATCTACTAATCAAAACCCTTCCTAAATTAGCCCCTCCTAAATTAGAACTATTCTAATTCATATTCAAATTGAATTTGAATTTGAATTATAATTCCTAATGGAGCAATCCTATTTTAGGAAAGTCTATTAAATCGTGTCTATTTGAATTTTAAATAGGATTTGATTTAAAAGAATCTTTCCTATTTCAAGATTCTAAATAGGGCAAGCCTTAACTCTTCCAACTTGAACCCCTTTCCCTAAGCAAACCGCCGGCCCCATTTTGGCCGCCCCCCTCTCTTTCCCTCTCTTTTAATTAATAAGCCCATAAAAGCTTCCCTAATTAAGCCTTCAATTCCCCAATTACCTCCACCCTTTTGGCTGAACTTAATTTTAGAAATTTTAAAGAATTTCAAAAATTTTGAAGTTGCTTCTCTACCAATTCAAATTCAAAACCTAAAATTAAAGCCCCTCCTCCTTTCCCTTCAAGACTTCCCCTTAGTTCTCTATTCTTTCCCCTCCCAAATTAATCCCGCTCAACCTTAGTTTGCTGTCCAAAAACTCCAGCAACCTAACCCTGCTGTTCCGCCTCCCTAATCATCGGAATTGCTGTCCAAAAGAGGATCAGGTTGCGGCCCAGAAATTTCAGCAAGATCCCCTTGCTGTCCCGCCATCCGGAGGGTCTCCATTTGCTGTCCAAAAGTCTAGAACTTTCTAAGATTTTGTTCCCCGATGTATGGCTTATCAAGAACTTGATCACGGGTTTGTTTACAACGATAAAGGGCAAGTAAACATCCTCAAGTCTCCGTTCTTCGACATCAACTTGGAGGTCGACCGTACCGTTGAATACTACGTTGAACGGATTATATTCTCTCTCGCCCCCACTATCGACGAACGCCTCTCTCCTGCTCAGTGGCAAATCATTTTCAAATCCTGATAAAGGTGAACTTCTCCTCAAAGTCTTTGTTTTTCTAAGTCTTCCCTTTAATTTGTGGCATCATAAAGGTTGTGCAACGTATCTCCGTTTAGTTTACATCAAAAGTGTGAGTGAGTGGATCCAATTAGTGCCTAATCTATATGTTAACATAGGGATTTCCTTTGAACTCCTCCATGCTATGCTAATTGTGATTTGAACTGATTATTCATGATTATACCTTTTACCTTGTAACTTGGCCTTAAGCTAGATCGCCTCTTTGTTGTTTTAATATTTGTTTAAATCGCTAAAATTGAACGTAATTATTGTTGCTCTAATTAAAAGCGTGTTTTTTCAGCATTACATAACTACTCACGTATTTAATTCTACATCACTATGATTTGACAAATCCAATAAATTCGCCATTTTCTAGTTAATAATTGGTTCTGAAGCATCCTACTTTTGCTTAGGCAGTTGCAAAAAGTGAGGATATCCACATGGAGTCACTAATAGGCTTTAAGTGTCAAGGAAAATTAGCAACGAGAGAAGAAGAGAGGATAAAAATACATTGTAGAAACCTTAAGCATAAGACATATAATTATGTGATTCGACAAGATTAACTTGCCTATTCACTGGCATACAAAAATATTTTTATTATAACTGAAAAGGGCATTTTTATCTTCCAGATTTCTATGAGAAGAATAATAAATGACTTAAAAACACAGAGGCTTAAGAAGAAAGCAAAAAAACCCTCGAGTTGTAATCCATATTCACAGGAACAATTATGTCCTAGCACCAACAAACTTGCCTTTGGTGCTATCGGGTTTGTCACGATCCATTTTTCATTCATTGGGTACCTTGGCAGAATCATGACCATACCCGTGGCAGAATCATGACCATACCCGTGACACTCAACCCACCACACTAGCTATCTCGCACCATCTTGGGTGATTAATTTCCCGCTATCACCAGTCCCACCACAGCCAGAGATATTGATGTCAACATTTTGCCATAGCAAACCAAATGAAATTGACTCAGCAGCCTATCTCAATCTCTCATTATAATTTTATTCCTCATTATGTGGTTCTCATTTTTTCTTTTTTTTGAGCTCTACATTGTAAATAGAAAGATAAACAATGGCCAAGCACATCCTTGTCTGAACATCAATCTGAAAATTGAACTACTTTAATCTCTAGTGGCTTTTGTGTTCGTGCTCGTTTCTCTAGAAGTTGTGTGCTCCATGTCAAGTATTTCAATGCTTAGATTTTTCTCTTTCTTCTATTTTTGAACACCAAATAGCACTCTCTCTCTCTCTCTCTCTCTCTCTCTCTCCCTCTCTCTCTCTTATTTGTAATTATTCTTTCCTCTTGTCACCCCCACATTCGACAAGTAAGCTTTTTTTCCTTTCATGATTTTATTCTGGCACAAATTCACACCTCCAATCATTTGTTATCTTCATGTATTTATAAGAGTTTATGGTGGAATTAAAATTAAAAACCAATTCAATTTTTAATGGACTATAAATAACACTAAGAAAATTTGTATCAAACTTTTGAATTAATTTCTTATAGAGAAAAATTTAAGCTCCACCAAAATACGAAATCTTGCCAGAAAATCAAATGCATCTTATAACGTCCAAAATCTTCACCATCACACTAGTTGAACTTCAGTTTTTCACCATGGGCATCCATTGTGCCACTTTTCTCTCAGACCGTGTATTTAACTCCAAAATCAGTTCTAAGAAAAATATGGTGATGCCAAAAACCTTATTGCTATGAACATTGATACCCAATCAAGAATTTTTTTTTTATATCAACAGCTCCAAATCTCATATATTTTTATTTAGACCGTTATAATCCTTCTTACAAATTTTAAAGGATTGTGAGGAAGAAAAAAAATATAATGTACAACAACAACAACAAAATCAAACCTTTATACCATTAGATAGGGTTGGCTACATAAATCATTTGTCTCCATTATGTCCTGTTAAGATTCAAATACTCATTTAAATCTAACCAAAAAGTCATTTCAAATATTTTCTAACCAAATTTTTTAGATCTAGCTCTGCCTTTCTTAACATAGGGCCAAATCAAATACCTCTATTCCCCTAACGAGGTCATCAGAAGGCTAACGTTTTATATGACCAAACCATCTAAGGTGACTCTCTCTAATCTTATTTTCCCCTAGAGCTACTCTGATGTGAAACAACCAACGGAATTGCAGGATTTTATTAAGAAATTTGTTTTAGCAATGAATTTATAAGGTTAATGTTTCACTAAGTCAGGATTTTCAGTTTTCGTAGTTATTAACTTGCTTCTAGCATGCGGTTACACGATAGATTAATAGAGCGATTCAAGACAAAAACAAGACGATAGCAAGACAAATATGCAATTAATAATAATCCGGCAATTAACAAATAGAACTTTCACCTTCGAGTTTCCCTCTCGATCGCTCTTTGGAAGTAGGGTTAGCGGAGGATGAAGGTTAGCAAACCCAGTGACGCCACTGAAAGATAGGATGCCGGCGGTTTTAATCAACAGAGAGTTGGCCGGAGTTGGAGAGACGGGTGGTCGTCCGGCGATCTTCCACGATCCTGTGGGTTGTTGCTCTTCGATGCCGTCCGCCAAAGTGAAGAGAATACGCTCCACGTATTCTTCGACTGTGCCTTAGGATCCAAATCCGAGATCGAAGAAAGGTGATTGAATGATGTCAATTTCCTCTTGAGAATTGTAAATGAATCCATGATCAACTTCCGGATCCTCCATACATGGACATGGAAGGACTCTTTGTTGTGTGCCTTGGAGGGGAGGTCCGGCGTTTGGTGGTCGGGAAAGGAGGGGCGATGGTTTGGGCTAGGCAGGATGAGGGAAGGGACGACTAGGGTTAGTGGAGGGGATTTGAGGTTTTAATTTCTCCTTTTTGGAAGTAATTATCCAAAGAGGGTAATTAATTAAAGGAAATAATGGGGTGGAGGGAAGAACTAGAATTCAAAATTCAAATGAGAGCTAGGGCCTCATTAGGAAAAACCATAGTGAAGCCAATTAAAGGGGTCGTTGTCTTCATAAGGGGAGAGAGGGATTATGGAGAGATTTTGGGAGTTTCCAAATAGATCTTTGTAGACAAGGAAAGTAAATAAGAAATCTAATTTAATTTATTTTAAATCGGATTAATGACTAAAACTTATTTGGATTTTTAAATAAGGAAAGCATTTGAAATTCAAATTTGAATTTCAAATGACTTAAATCTCTCCCTTAATTGCTTTAGTTAATTTAGG